AAAAAAAGAAAAAATCCATAAAAGGAATAAAAAAAATAATTAGGGCTGATGGCCAGCACCTGAGAACCACAGCCTACAGATCGCACAGGACTGTTGAGCACGGAGAGGAAGATCCTCTCAAGCCAGCCACAGACACATCAATGCAAACACAGAAATTCCTCATTATCCCCAGACAATACACCCCATTCCTCCAGAGTTCTCATCTGGTCCCTCTGCCTTTGTGATAAAATCCCAGAAATGTCCTTTATTTGTGGCTTCCCTGTCACCCTTGGGGCTGGGGTGTGTGGGCAAGCCTGGCTCACTCGAGGGGGCTGTCACAGATGCCATCACTGACCACCTCATTGCACACGACAACCCCATCCAAGCCACCGGGCATATATTCTTTCTCTTCTCCTTTTTTTGTTTCCACCCACTTTGCTTTCTTTTCTCCTCAGCATCGAGTCCTTCCCTATTTCAAAGCCCTTCTTCCTTAACCCCAAACCCCAAAAGAAGCCAACTGAGTGAATGCCAACTCCAAGCAAGAATTCTAAGTGTCCCAAGGCAACCATGCTACAGAGTATTCTGTTGTTTTAAAACAACCATCAATAGCTGTTTAAAAATGTAGACCCTACCCCCAGGATCGCTTCTGAATCATCTTTGGGTGGACTTGAACCTCTTGACCAGCAGCCAAGTCCATGGTCAACCTTGGTCAACACTTTCAATATGGCGGCCCAACCATAGTTCCTTGCACCCTGTTGCCCCCGTGTGGTACCATAGCACAGCTGCAGGCTTACACGTTTTCACTTTTTAATTCACCCCTATTATCAAACAATATCATTGATATCACACACAAGCAAGATTCTGCTGAAAATGATCCAAAAACGTTTGGAACAATCTGTCAACAGAGAACTGCCAGATGTGCAGGCTGGATTTAGATGAGGTTGTGGTACTAGGGATATTATAGCTAATATAAGATGATGGATCTTGGCAGAAAACAGAGAATACCAGAAGGATGTTTATCTGTGCTTCATTGACTATGCAAAGGCTTTTGACTGTGTGGATCACAACAAGCTGTGGCTGACTCTGAGAAGAATGGGAATCCCAGAAC